GTTAGGTCCAGGGTGATGATGGTTATTTGTATGTTGGCAGGCTAAATAAATTTGACTTTCAAATAATAGATTTAGTAGGAGTTTAAGTCGGATGCTATGGCTTTTCGAGTTGTTGACGTGGCTTCGGGTGGGAGCGGAGGGTGTGGGGGAGTGCTTCAATCTTTGAGTGGTGAGTTGAGAGCTTTATTTTTCGGCCCGGTGTTGGTTTTGAATGCAGATTATGCTATTATTTCTGGTATTAAATTGGCCCTGGATGTGTTCTTCGAAGCTGGCTGGTCTGGTTCGGAAAATCTGATCGTGGAACTTTTTTCTAAATTGTCTTTCATTGGATTTGCAATCCAATTTCCCGTCCATTGAGATGGTGGCCACTGTTTAAAGAAACCGGTGAGAGAATTATTGTTTTTAAATCGGTTCAATTCAAACTTTTGATGCATTCGGATAGCTCGTTGGCTTATTGGTTAGCTGGAAACGGTCAGTCGCGGTTAAGTGCTTTCAAGGCTTGGTGGTAATTGAATTTGGGGCTGGTTCCGCACAGGCAGTTGTATTATTTTTGGTGTTGCTGCTCCTTTTTGGGAGCCGGTGGTGGTGGTCCTTTTGCTTGTCGATTCTCCTTTCATCGAGCATTGTGTTGTCGCATTTTCTTTGCTTAGGGTGCAGGTACTCTTTTTCCCACCATTTAGGCTAGGAGATTTTTAACGAGGTTTGCACCCAACCGTAGTTTCTCTTACTTCTGGCTTCTGGCCGTGCTGATAAAATAAATAATAGATTTAGTTGGTATAACATGTGGTGATTATGACAAGTAACTATAGTTGATCGAAAGATATAAAACTCCGAAAACTTTGATAAACGAGAGAATGAAAACGAAAGTACTGTTTGCGAAAAGATCCAAAAGAAGTAAAACAGCTTCATATTCCGACCATAGATTTATCAAGTTCAAGTTATTAATTAAATCAATATTGCTTTATAGTCAAATAATTACCCTAAATTCTTACTCTGTTCTTCTCTTCATGATGGCTTTCGTGTCATTTCCCTTAAATAGTGGAACCAAATTAGTTCGGTTAAACAGTTGGCTATCAAAATTAGTTCGATCGATGAATGGTTAAAATTTTTAATATTCGGTTAACGATCAATTTGGTTTAAAATTAGTTAATTAACCGAAAATATTAAATATTATATATATTAAATACATATTTTAAAATCAAACCCATTAAGAGTTAATACCCACCTATTTTTTAACCATCTAGACCTATTAAATAGTCAATACCTATTAAATTTTAACACAAATAAAAAAATAATTGTATTAAATTCAAATTAAAATCAAATTTTATTCGATTCGGTTAACTGTTAAAAAAATTAAATTAAATCAATTTTAAAAACTACTAGTTCGACCAATAATCGAACCAACAGTTTGAACAACCTTAACCCTAAGCTCCCATAGCTTTTAATACAAGTGGAACTCTTTTTTATTCTCTCTCCACTGCCGGGTTCTATCTTCATGAAACATCGAGTGAGCTGTTATCTTCTTCTCACGCCAAAACAGCCTTTCCTACAGCCGTTGGCTTCGTAAAATGTATTAAAGCCTCCCTTGTATTTAAGGTAAACTATAAACCACGGGATCCAAAAATTTAAGAATAAGGTCAAAATTTTAATTTTCTTTTTTTTTAATAATAGGTATGTAAAATTATATTTTTTTTCTTTTCTCCTTAACACATTAAACTGAATTTAACCATTTTTCTAAAATAATAGGGATGCATTTGGCCCCTATAGGGGCTTAGTGCATCCTCCATTGCTATAAACGGCGTTTAATATCTAAATTATTAATTTTTAAGAAAATTATACCTAATATTTATTTTATGTTTCAATTTTGTACCCTTTCATTAAAAAATTAACGGTGATATTAAAGTGTCCTCATAAGATAATGTTATGTCATTACTGAAATAATAATAAAATGCCACGTCAATTGTTTTGTTAAATTTTTAATGAAAGAGTACCAATTTAAAACATAAACTAAATGTTAGGTATGATTTAAAAAAATAAAATTTGAGTACCAAAATGGAATAAGAATAATAATTTAGGTACTAAACATGTACTTTATCGACACTCTACACTACTTCCCGCCAGGTCGACTAGCAACCATCGAGCACGACGATGACACCGTTTCCTTTTTCATCGACTGAAACAACGTCGGAGCTTTGCTCGTACATGCAGCAGCTGATGGAGTAACAGTTTCTGACAATGTTAAACCTGTTTATGTTCTTCATATCGTTCACTCGTTCTTCCCTTTGAACGGGCTCCAGAACTTTGAGGGCACTAGGAACCCTTTACTTGGAGTACAAGTAACAGATCTTGCAGACGGTATATTCATCGGTTGCCTGTGATGGGTGGGACATCGTTCGTCATATCATGAATTCTTGGTCGGAAATTTCCAAGGGTTCGATTAGCTTATCGAAGCTCCCTGTTTTTCGACGTTGGTTTCCCCATCCAGAGCAATTGAGGGCTTGCTGGCAGAGTTTCTAGCAACCATCCAAAATCCCACTTCTTACAAGCAACATTACGATCACAAGTAGTTCCCCTGGGTTTAATATATATGGTAATGATTTTGGATGGGGAATGCCGATTGCAGTAAGAAGTGGGCCGGAGAACAAAATTTGATGGAAAGATTACACTCTTCAGTGGAGCAGAAGAGGGAAGTATCGGCATTGAAGCAAGCTTGTCAGCAGAGACATTGGAGGCTTTGGCAATGGACCAAGAATTTATGGATACCGTAACTTTATAATCGATGTTATTGTTAGTGTTGGACATCAGTTTGTTGTGTTGTAAGTGAAAGTTGAGTAATTAGTACCATGTTTTCAGTTTGATTGGGGAAGAAAATGATAATATATGGTATTATAATTAACTATGGTACAATTTATCACCAACGAATAGTAATTCATTTCATTCTTAAATCATATACTGTTTATAAATACCTACTCTTGAACCGCAGGCATCTACGTCGATATGTCCGGGTGGTTAAGGAGACAGACTTGAAATCTGTTGGGCTTTGCCCGCGCAGGTTTGAACCCTGCTGTCGACGATTGCTCTTTCTATTTAAAGTTGATATATTTGTTTGTTTTGTTCCCGGCCCCAAACAAAAGCAGCAAATGCTGAACGAATACATGAAACTATTTTTTAGTCTAATAAAGCTATTTTTTCAAGTACACAGCAACCGTCATTCAAATTCGGGTAAGTTTATTTTTTATATTTTTGAAGTTTAAAAAGGGAATATCACAATTTCTAACCTATCAATTTATAACAAAAATATTACTCAATTGTTGGTGCGTTATACAATAATATGACGTGATATTTTATATAATAAATTAATATCATTTAATAAGATGATGACATATATCACCATCTTTATTAGTGAAAAATGTCCAAAAATATAAAATGTAAGTCACTGAGCAAATTTTAACCTATCACTTCAGTTGGTATTGACAATTTTTCAAATAAATTTAAGAGTTTAACTAAAATTTTCGAAACTTTTGAGATTTAACGATAACTTTTTAGAAAATTAAAGATAGACTTGCTTAAAAATATTTAAAAAATTTGAAGAAAATGATGTTCGAAGTTGAGTTCAATAAAGCGTCTTAGATTGAGTTCTTCATGTCTTTTACGAGATTTAGAGCTAAGTTGGGATGAACTGAAAGGGGACTGGGTGAGGTAGTCTTTTCTAGAAGTTTCAATTTTTTTTTATGTATCTTGACATTTTCAATTGAAAATTTATTTTCGTCAACTCTTGAAATTTTATAAATTTGATTCGTAACATAAAATCCTACATTCGTAAATGTATGAAAATGATGTTTTATGATTCCTTAATACTTCCAGAAGCTTTAATAATCACCTTAAGACTTAAAACAAGTATATAAGATGAGTTTATGGTGATTTTTGGGTGAACATGATATTTATGGGTTTGAATATCGATACCAGATGACTGGTATCCATATTGTTCTTCGTAGGGCAAAATATGACTTTTATAAGGGGAAATATCGACACTCTATTCATAAAGTATTAATATTATTCATTCGATTTCAATACCCAAATCTTGGTAACGATATCATAGATATAGTTTTAGAAAATATAATCCAGGTTTTGCCCAAAGTGAATTTATACATACTATAAGAAGTTTATCACTTATCAGTTTATATTACAAATTCATCATCCAAGCTACAAAACATGCATATCACCCAACATGCTCTAAAATCTATAAATCACAAACAAAATATCACATTTATGAATGCTATGATATAACAAGAGATTAGTAATACATTCTCTTACTCAAAATTAGTAATGGCCCCAATTGATTAATTAATAAATTTAATTTACTGAACAAAAAAAATTACCAAATTGATCCGGCAACCTTTGGCTCTCTTACCATTTCCCCTCTTCTAAGTTCAAATGGCCCCGATTCTTACCTAAATAAAAAAAATGATATTAAAAAATTTGATCGGAACTCGTTTTTCAAAAAATAATCTAATCTTATGTGATCGAGTCAAAACCCATCATATTCAAGTCTCATATCCAACATTAAATGAAATGATATATTATATACATTAAGCAAAGTTTAAGATTCAAAATATGACATTACGGAATAGAGTAAATTGTGTTAGGAAGGTCGTCCATGCAATACTCAATTTGAATTAATCAATCAATAGATTAAATATCAACGAATATAAAAAAAATATTCAAACGCATAACAAAATGTAATATAAAATATACAAATGATCAATGAACTATAATAAAATGCTCTTACTAATTACTGGGAGTTTTAAAAATTATAACATAAATATTAAACTTTCTTAATTTATTACCAGATATTCTATCTATCATGTATTCTTATTTCAAACAATCTAACTTATTGGATCCGATTTTTTTTTTAATTTATTTATTACAAAATTGCTCATCACTACAAGGATGGACTTGTTTATTTAAAAAAAAAATCGTGCTCGAAACTAAGAATATAGCCAATGTAAACTGAGAAAATCATACTTAGCGACAATATGAAGACTCGAGAGGAGATTATGGACTGGCCAACCTTCAGTAAGCAATCAATCTATCTTAGCAATGACAGCATCAACAACTTCCTGTGTAGTGCTTTCTCCACTGAGATCTTTAGTCCGATGCTTACCCTCTAGGATTACATTCTTCACTGCATTCTCAAGTCGATCGGCAAATGATGGAAACTGTAGGTGCCTCAACATCATAGCAGATGAGAGAAGCAAAGCCACCGGATTTGCTGTCTTTTGCTCCACCATCTTTTGTTTTCCAACGTTCCCTGCTGAAGCACCTTGCTCGAAAACGGCGTGTTCAGCACCCACGTTGCCTATAGTAAGCAAAATATTTTATGAGAACTTATTAGTATGAACTAGAACACATTAATCAATAATTGGTACCTCCGGGCATAACACCAGTGCCTCCAGCAATGCCAGCTGCTGTATTAGCAACAAGATTTCCATAAAGATTAGGAGTAACCTAAAGAAACAGAAGAGGAGACAGTCAATGTGTCATACCCATACTAGGAGATGATTGATAAATATGGACATACTCGATTCTTTCTAACATTAGTCGGATTTAGATATCAGACACAAACACTTTTTAAGGAAAACAAAAAATCCATGTAACATCATATAATTGCATGAGTAAGGTGAAGACACCGACTAATAAGTATCAGGCCCAGATCATGGAAAGCATCATGAATTTCAGCTCATGGCCCTTACTTCAAATTAAATATAACCATTTTTTTTAGCATGTTAAGTAATTTCTCTCTATTTATCAAATCTAATTATTCAATTTATCAAAAATCTCAGTTATATGTTACAGTAAAAGTTTAATGGACTTGCTTTGGTAATGAGATTTTAGATAAAATTGTTTATGGTGATGTGATTGATGAATCTGCTTCAAAGAATGTTATGACGACAAGATTTTCAAGTGAGAATCTTGTTAGCTAGTTAGTTGTCCCTTATTGTTTTAGTTGTATTCAGGATGTTTTTTAACAAAATAATAAAAAATAATATGTTTGACAAAGTTTATTCAGGATCTTTTATGATTTATTAATAAAATATTAAATTAATTATTCAAAGTAATGAAATATGCTTTCGTTCTATAGTATTCATTTTAAATTTTCGCTCGAAACCCTGAAAATGTCAGACAATTACATGAACAATATCATGCACATACATGGATGATTACCAAGCTAGGGTGCAGCAGAGGAGTTGAGATTAAAAGATAAGGAAAAAATAAAAATAAAAACACACATACCATGACATCAAATTGTTCAGGTTTTGAAACAAGTTGCATGCAACAATTGTCGACGATGATCTCGTTATATGTGATAGTCGGATATTTGGTTGCAATATGACGGCAAGACTCTAGAAACAGCCCATCAGCGAGTTTCATGATGTTGGCCTTATGGACAGCAGTCACCTTCTTTCGATTGTTTAAATAAGCATATTCGAAAGCATACTTTGCAATCCGTTCTGAACAAAACTTGGTTATCACCTAAACCAGGAAAACAACTAAACAATTACCCAATAAGAATCTCTTCAAAGTTCTTCTCGTAAAAAAATAACATAATCCTAAAATTAGCCCCAAATGTTTTAATTTTTATCAAAGGCATAAAGCCAAAAAATGCTTCTAACATTCGACTAAGTAGTCATTTTGCCCCATATTCTTTTTTCTTTTTGGAGCATTTTAGCCCCGATATTTTATTTTAGGGCAAAAGACCCATAATATTCGACTAAATAGTCACTTTAGCCCTTATTCATTTTCTTTTTGGAGCATTTTGATTCTCGATGTTTCATTTTAAAGCAAAAAAGACTCTTATTTTGGAGTGTTGATCATTTGTTGACAAACATTTGCTATCCACATAAGGTTTTTTGTTATCAAAATGAAACGTTAATGGCCAAAATGCTCTAAAAAGAATATGGGTCAAAGTGAATATTTAGTCAAACATTAGAGGCATTTTTATCGTTATGCATTTATCAAAATGGTCAATTTTGGCATTATGCCAAAGGGGGGAAAAGCGATTCAAATTCAGACCTTAAGGCTCTCAACAACGCCAGGAATGACCTCATGTTCGAGGCCTGAGTATTCCCCTTCTGTGTTCTCCCTAATGACCACAATATCCACGTTTTCATGTCTGGTTGGCAACCCTGGTAGATTACAGCAATCCACCAATGAAGCATACAAATCCAATTCTCTCCTTAACTGCACATTCAACGAGCTTACTCCACCTCCCATCGGCGTTCTCAATCCTCCTTTCAGACAAACTTTGTTCTTCTTTATCGAATCAATCACTTCCTGCGGCATCCACCTCATGTCGCCGCAAACTTCGTACTTCTCGAAGTAAATCGGCGCCTGCATCGCCTCCATTACTTGTTCCACTGCATTTGTGACCAGTGGACCGATTCCGTCCCCGGGGATTAGCGTTATTGGTCTCGGGGCTCCGTCTCCGGGCCGGGGCATGTAGGTGACGGCTCGAGTTTGATTCTTGTGGATCATAAGGGTTTTCAAAAGAGAAACGGATCTACGTGATGCCGACATTCTCAATGGAGGAGTTATTGGGATCAAATTAAGGTCTTGAAAGGTTGAGAGAAATATAGAGTTGTAGAAAAAAGGCCATCGACGAGAGAAGCGGAAAGTTAGAGAAGAAAAAGCCATAATTTTGGCAACAAGCCCTTTTATTTATTTAAGGATTTCATACATTTGACATTGTCATGCATGTTTTTTAAAAACACCCTGAATTTGTGGATCCACTAAATTTCATAAACCTCAAAACATTGTCAATATAATATTTATACGTTACGAAGTTTATCGATAAGGATTCGTTGTTGTTGATGGATTGACCGTAGGAACAAATATAGAAGTTTATGTTAGAGATATAAACTTAAGAAATTATACCGAAAATCTTAGAGGTGTGAAACTAAATCATCAGTCCAAATATAAAGAAAATATTTAAATTATACAATAATTTTAAATTTTTAAAGAATACGACCGCATCTTAATGGGAGTTTTTCAAATTACTAGAACGTAATTTATTAATTTTTTTCTTATTTTATATAAAAAAAAACATAGAACTATTAAGAAAATGTTTGATTTTTTTTGTTCAGTTCCCTTATAACATCATAAGTGGCTACAAAAACATAGGAGAGTGTGTAAGAGAATTCTTTATAGAAGTGTTATGTCTCAACTACGTTACAAATGAGGGAGGTTAGCCTCTTTATTTATAAGCACCATTTAAAACTTTGCATTTACTAGTTCCTCCAAAATTATGGTATAAACTATGCTTTTTGTTCTATAATTTGATTTGTGTAGTTTCTGCTATCACTGATTTTTTTTTCAAAAGTTAAATAATTATTTTTACTTATTTTGTTATTTAAAGATTTACAATATTACATACAGGAAAAACAAACCTATCAAACTTCAAAAGATTTTAAAAAACCCTAAACGTGACTTATCTCTTCCTTCCTCTAAGATCGATAGGCGACGACATCTGTCTTGGTATTAGTTGGTTGACACTAATATTTTTTTTCATTTATTTTCTTATACCACATTTTTATTTTTTTTATTTATCTTTTTAGTTTTTAATAACTCTACCTTTATGACATGTTTTCTTCTTTCTTTATGGCACATTTTTCTCCGTCTTTTGGTCGTTGTTTTCATTTATCTTGTTGGGTTGCATTTGACATCACTATGATTGATCGAGATGATACTTATTTGTTATCATGCTTATCTTCCATGCATTAGATCATTGGATTGAATTTGGATACGCGATTCGTGTTCGTGTATAGTTTTCTCACGTTGCTCGACTCTGATTTGCGATTTTATGTGCTTATTAGTCCTATCCAAATGGTTCCTCTGAATTGAATTTGATTATCAATTATTACCGAAAATTAAAGATTATTCCTGGTATGGGTTATTTTATTGGATAAGAACCTAATAAATTCACTTATTGTCCAAAACAAATCAATTTATACGGAAGTCATCAAACGATTTTAGTTGTAAAAATAATAAAAGAGATGTTATTCTTTTTTAAAAGTCGTAAATTTGAACATTTATATCTATATATAATTATGTTATAATTTCACAAACACGATTAACTCGAACTATAATTTAAAAAAATTTAAATTTGATTCGAATAACTCAAATTTTTTTGACTCGATTCAATCGAACGTTCACCCTTATAAGCAAAGTGTGTGTATCTTTACCGACTTATTATATAAAATAAAATTTTCTCCTTTAAAGAATTTGGAAGTATTTTTTAATTATAAAAACATTAATATAAAATACATTTTATTATTCGTGAATTCTGTCAACTAGGGTTTGACGGAGTCTAAATAGTTTCCTCTTCCACGCATGCCACAACTTCGAAGTTGTTGCTTAAAAGAAAATTCATAAGTTGTTATAAAAGAAGAAAAAATAATAATTTGGAAATGCAGAAAAGAAAACTACATGAACACACAACATCTTGAATGAGAATACATGTGAAACATGTCATAATTGTCAAATATAACGATTGATATTTCATAGTTAAAACCAATCTTTCAAAGTGATGATAATGGCAACTCACAACTGAATGTTCTTAAATCAGATTCAGTGTTACATCACAGACTAAGAAAACGTAGAACATATTCACACTCTTGTTCCAGAACATTAAAAATACACAGTAGTTGATTTGGTAATCCCAATCACGACGACGATGGACGTGGCAGTCTCTTAGCAATTTCCTGTCATGTAGATAAGAAACCTTCAATCCATATTCATAGATAAACCTTGACAATCTCAATCTATGTCATTCGGACTTAGGCGTCTAACACGGGTATTTCATGAAGAAAAAAATGAAGATTTAGAGAGCAACATTGGTGAAAACAACTCTAAGAAGGGTTGACAATGCACTTAGATGACAACAAACTTAGTGCATTGATGACCAATGTAATCCATTGACATGATGAATAGAGGTTATTGATAACAGGAAACGAATTCGTAAGATGGACAAGTACTCATAAAAAGGACACCGCCGATTTTGGAGGCATCGACAACTACTACTCAAAATTGAACAGTAATTACATGCTAGTAGTAGCAATCAAATGCTGCTGACAAGTTTGAGCAAATACCATTTTAAAGCTCAAGCATAAGACCTCATACTTTGCATAACATTTTGATACCATCAACATCAACTCTAATGCTACATTTGCTTGGAGTGTTAATTTTTTCGTCATGTTTTAGTACAAGTTAGCAATAAACTACCTTCACAAGGTAAATTTTAGCCACTCACATGGCTTCATTTGAACAAAGATAAGGAATATATATTGCTTATTTTGAATAGGTATTATTTTTTTACTTGAGTTTTTACTCATTTCACTTCAAGTTTAGATTTATGCCAATTCTTTATTTGATACAAACTACTTTAAAACTCATGTAAAAGTAAGAACAATGGCGCTTAATAACTATAGAAATTCGAAACACCTTGCATCGAATATAGACTAAAACCTAACTATGAGACTGCATATGGGATCATATTTAGGTTTCTATCTTTAGTAACTTGTATAAAATCTTCACATTCAGTTGTCACGGAATGCGAAAATTACCATTCTATGCAACTTCCATAATCAATAAACGTGCCCACACGGTACTAATAATTATCTATGGTCAATTTAATTGCACTTTGGGACATATTGAAGAAATACCTCAAACAACTGATTTATATTGTCTGCAGTCTTGGCAGATGTCTCAATAAAGAACATTCCATTCTTCTCTGCATAGTCAGTGCCATCCTTCAAGAATTAAAGAGCACACATTAGAAGATAGTTCAATATTCATAAAGGTATCTTTGTTCATATAATTTTGGCACTAACTTGGACTTGTACTTCACGTTTCTCTTGAAGATCGGCTTTATTACCAACCAAAGCCATCACGATACCTGGGCTCCCATGCTTTTGTAGCTCCTGAAAGATGAAAAAATACATTAATTTTGGCATCTTCGGTAAGGTTCTATATAAAAGAAAAATCAGTCTATACCAAAGACAATACTTCATGGAGAAAACCAAAAGACCCCTTGAAAATTCATTAATCCAAAAGAATTAAGTTCTTTTCGGCATAAAAGACAGCAAAATCATACTTGGAACTGCAAGACAATCTTCAAGAGACAACTAGTGTATGCTTTTGCAAAGAAATGAGGAAAAATCTAAAACTTCGGGGGAAAAAATGAGGGTGACAGAAGAACCAAAACTGGATTATTTGCAATTTGCAGTTTTGCACTATTAAAGACGACAGATACAGATGGCAAATATATAGCATGTCACACACAAAGACAATAAGAGAAACTGGAATAATTTCTCCAAAAGCTTTTCTAGAGACCTTCACAACTCAAACTTAGATCTTCTGTGTATTGAAATTTTATCCCATCCAAAATTTTTCACATTCTAAAATGAAGAAAGCAATAAAAATCCTAGAAGAAAAAAAAAACTGATGCGGTCTCAGAATCTACCTTAACCCAATATTGTGCTTTGGCAAAAGACTCTGGACTAGTTATATCATACACAATAACTGCAACTCCCGCTCCTCTGTAGTACAGAGGTGCCAGTGCAGCATACCTGAGGAAGACAAATTAAACAATTAGCTCTTTCGTTCCAAAGGAGTGATCATAGCAAAGTAAAATGCATAACATAAACTAAATTGTAATCTCAATTGCAGTGAAAATCATGCAAGAGGAGATGATCAAAATATCATAAACTTTTCCAGAGAAAGTGATGAATAAACTTGAATATCGACATGCTATTTGATAATTGTACCTCTCTTGTCCAGCTGTATCCCATATTTCAAACTTAACAGTGGTTGAATCTTGCAAAGCTATTGTCTGTGACAAGAATGAAGCTCCTACGGTTACCTGAAATGATAAAGGGTTGACAAGTCAGAAAAAATTCACTGGAGCAGAACTTTTTCACCCTCACAGATAAGATGCTTACACCATTCCATTTGAATATGGTTGGACAAAATAAAACTCAAAAAGAAAGCCAGATGGAAATATTACAAGTTGATGGCTTAAGATAGAACTCCTAACCTTGGATGTAGGGTCAAACTGGCCACGGACAAAACGCAGAACAATACAACTTTTTCCAACTCCAGAATCACCTAACAAGACCAGCTGGGTGCAGCAAAAAGATATTGAAAGTTCAGTTGCATCATCAGGATGTAGTTAAAGGAGATCATGATGGTACTAAAGAGATAGCATGTTGAAAATTGCACAATTGTTAAAATTCAGTTTTCAGCTCCAAAACCAGGTAATATAATCAATCTTTTAAACAAAAATTTCAAGATTAAATGATAAATACGAACCACAAACAGCTAAGCAAATTACCACCGTTGTTAAAGACGCTGTGCCTTAGCACCAGATGAAACAAATTCTTCGGACCCTTTCAACCGAGGTACATTTTTCATTAATGGTATGATTACCAGTGAGAAGGTGGATAATATCAAACTCTTTATAGCACAATATTCGAATATTCAACAACATTTATAGCTCAATGTTCCAATATTCAACAACATTTATAGCCCAATATTCGAATATTCAACAACAGAGATGGACCAGAAAGAAACATTTACCTTTACGCGCAGATTTTTAGCATCAGGACCTTCAGAGTTCTCTCCGTTG